GTCCATCATCAATCCAAGATTTGACGGTTAAATCGAAACTGCTGTCCATGTGGCCATCAAAGCAGGAGTTTCACGGCTCTTAAATTCTTGTTAAAATGGCTTCGACGCAACGACAAAGAGGATCCTGAGCTGCAAGGACGAACAGGAAACAATGTGTGCATACCGCAATATCTGAAAATCAACTGAGGTAAATAACCACTCTGTCTTTTCATTTTCTTTACATAAATATGATTAAGCTAGCTTCTAATTAGTTTGCTCTATCTCCTAAATAATAAGGCGGTGGACTGTTGATTACACATATGGAAATAATAAAAGAACTCTCAAGGTTTGACAGCTTTGGACAGATCTCCAACAAACCCAAGTTACATTAGTGAAGAAGTTGCGGAAACTAATAATCTTACGAATTCTACTAGGTGCTAAAGCTAAACAGCATCTGAACTCCATCTTCCGCCTCGATCTATTCGTGCAATACTATCAAAAATTCACCTTGTTTTTAGAGGAAAACTAATGAAAATGTTGGGACTTGGTTACCCAACCACAGACAATATTCCGAATGAGTCCGAAACACAGTGCTTGTGGTGGCTATATTAATTGCCACAGCCACCTATCAAGCTGCACTCAGCCCCGCCGGAGGACTTTGGCAAGATCAAATGAAGTGCAGCAATCAAAACAACACTGTTACCAGTAAAAAAACAAACATGACCCTCATCTTGCGCGGTCAAGCGCCATCACCACAAAATGCAGGGCATATGATTCAGGGTTCTTTGTTTCAGTTTCTGTTTGACATTTAATTCTCTGGCTTTTTTTCTGTCTATGGCCGTAATTTCAGTTCTCATAGCTGGGCTTCCTCTTTCCAGAATCCTTAGAGTTTGACACTGTTGATCTCAGCTTCGTTTGCTTGCGCAATGCTTGAAACCTTTCCGTACCCATATCATTCTTTTTTATTTCACTCCTTTCTTTCTTTGTTTATTTATCTCTCCCTTAATTTTTCTCTAGATTATTTTTGTCATCGCCAAAAATACAAGTTTTATAAGTACAGCGAGAGGCAATTACGCCCGGGAGAAATCCTAGTTAGTAAATTCGCAAACAAAATGTGAATTATATGTCCATCTGTATAATTCATGTATAATTCACAAATTTTCGTATGTTATTAGTTCAGCCGTATATTCGTGAACTATATGCTTTAGATGTTTTATTCACATATTTTTCCGTATCCAAATTCTTCTAAATTTTTACAATATATTTTTCACAATTTGTCATATTATACTCGTAAAATTTCTATACTCTGTTTTTGCCGTACCATATTTACTAAGTAGGGGAGAAATGAGGTCGTAAGCTTTATCTGCTTTGAATTTTCTTAATAAATTTGTTTCTTTTGTTGACCATTACAATGTATCTCTCTTCTCAACCTCATCGAATGAATATTATCAATTTATTTGAAGCTAAGTGATTTCCACATGGGTTAATAATTTTTTGCACTAAACCTGCAATTCTCACATATTCTTTGTCTTTATTCAGGGGAGGAATGGCTAGAACAATTATTAGAGAACATTAATTGATTTAGTAAATTATAAGTAATTAATATTTGCTTTAAACATTGAGAATCTCAGCTAAGTTCATTGGTGTGCAATTATTTGATAAATTATATTGTTTTTGTTATCATGATATACTTAAAGTAGTATTACCACAAACAATAATTATATTATTAGATAAATTACAACTCCAAAACGTAATTTAGATACAATGGCTATTCATAACATTTGTTTAAGAGTTAAAACTATGACATTGTTACACATGTTGTCGTGGCCGGCCTCAACCCATGGAAGAAAACCAAAAAATTATTTGGGAAGGCTTGAATTAAAAAAAAAAAAAAAAAAAAAAAAAAAAAAAAAAAAAACAAAAAAAACTTAATAAACTATACAAAGAATAACAAATATAGTATCTTTTTTAACTGTTGGGTAGGGGTGAGCGGTTCCAAGTACCCTGCATTTTTCATGAGAATCGGAACCGCACAGTGCAATTTCCCAAAAAAAAAGGAACTGGAATCGAAACCTGTCGGTTCTGGTTCTTATATTCAAGGAATCGGAACCTGAAATGCAGGTTCCGGTTCCTTGCCCGGGTACCCTATAAAAAATTATTCCCCCTCTATTAGTTTAAAAAATGACAAAAATACCTTAAAAGTTTACAAATACACCCCTAACAAATTAAGAAAACCTACATTTAGTAGTTTTTAACTTTTGATTACTCATTCATTTGTGTCCAATGTAACTCATAAATCCTCTAATCTCTAGACAACACTTGAATTCGATCAATTCATCACAATTCACATAAAATTTCTCAATCAAAACCAAAACACAAACATGTTCCAAGCGTTCCAAGCCGGGTACCCGCTTCAGGTTCTTTCATAGGTTTTGGTTTCAAAACCAATAGGAATCAGAATCGAAACCGCACAGTGTTAGTTTCAATAAAATGGAACCGAAACATAGTGTCGGTTCCGGATAGGTTCCAATTCTATCCGCAGTTTTTGGTTTTACTCGCTACTTGTGCTCACCCCTACTCTTGGGGAAGGTGAAATTATTTTGTAGAGAAATTAAAGAAAAAGTTACATTCAATGCTATACAACTATTTTGCTAAGATGTGAGTAAGTTAGGTGGAAATAAGTTAGATTTAACTTTGTATAAGGTTAAAATAGTAATCTGAAGAAAGCATTTACAATTCTACATGATTCATAGCAAATTCGGTGATGATAAAGATTCAATGTGGAATATTATTCAACAAGTGCAGATTAAATTGTATGTATTGTTAAAACCAGCAATGTAAATACTCAAGATCAACATGTATATATTCATATCATTATTCATATACATGTTCATATATTCATGGAAATTTGCGGAAGGAAAATAATTTAATCACTAATCTCCAACCATAGCAATTTTGTTGTTGTTGTTGTTGTGTTCTTCAAAAGTTATAGACTCTTCCAATGTACTGCAATTCTCAGAATGATGGTTTTTAGGAATCATAATACTTGTGTGTATTAGGGACCTGTAACTGTTTCCCTTTTAAAGCACACATACGTTTTTCCATCAAAGACAACTGCTGGGAATAACTGCTGAAAACTACTCAGCAGTTTAAATTTTTATATAAAACTAATATATAAGTGAAGGACCAAAAAGTAATTTTAGGGCAATGAATTTTAATTAATTAAAATTCTAACATTCTCCCACTTGGTCCAAACTTTTATTACACAATCCACAACATAGTAGTTTTATATTCTTTATATTTAATTAGAAAAATAGAATTGCATGAATCATAGCGGTAAGTCCTTTTTAAACGAGTATTACCTTCCATGTATTACTATGCAATTTTTCTTCTTCTAAATAAACGCTTAAATGTGGAATATTACTTTATGAACAAACCTCAAATGTTTATTCTAGGTCCTCCAGAAAGTTTGTTTGTCTCCAACCAAAATGTATACAACTTAAAAGAGAAAACAAACTAAATTACAAAGTTTCAGAGAATGAAAGTATTACCTCTCATAGTGACAAAGTAGGACGTAGTCCCATTTGTATTACATGATCCTTGAACGTCTTTGGTGGCATGCCTTTTGTCAGAGGATCAGCAATCATCTGCTTGGTGTGTATGTGTTCAATGAGCACTTCTTTGGTTTTAATGTGCTCCCTTATTGCTAAGTATTTAATGTCACTGTGTTTACTTCGACTTCCACTCTTATTATTCTTAGCAAAGCACACAACAATTGAATTGTTATAATACAACCTTACTGGCTTAGAGATAGACTCAACAACTCCAAGCCCATAAATGAAACTTCTCAACCAAATACCCTGTGTAATAGCCTCAAAACAGGAAACAAACTCAACTTCCATGGTAGAAGTGACAACCAAAGATTGTTTAGTACTTCTCCAAGATATAGCACCTCTGGCTAGCATAAAAACATATCCGGATGTTGATTTTCGAGAATCAACACAGCCAGCGAAGTTTGAGTCTGAATATCCGACAACTTTTAAAATGTCAGACCGTCTATAAGTAAGCATGAAACCTTTAGTTCCTTGTAGATACCTCATGACCTTCTTTGCAACTCTCCAATGGTCTAAATCTAGATTACTTTGATATCTTCCTAATATGCCAACTGCAAAAGCAATGTCAGGTCTAGTACAGACCTGAGCATACATTAGGCTTCCAATAGCTGAAACATAAGAAATAGTTTTCATTTGTTCCTTTTCAATCTCAAGTGTACGACATTGGTTCAGATTAAACCTGTCACCCTTAACAATAGGTGCAACACTAGGTGAACAATCCTTTATCTTAAATCTCTCAAGAATTTTATTAATATAGGCTTCCTGAATAGTCCCAAAACATGTTGGGACCTATCCCTATGAATCTTAATGCCAATGACATAAGACGCCTCACCCATATCTTTCATACTAAAATGTTGAGAGAGAAATTGTTTCACCTCATGCAATAATCCCAAATCATTGGTTACAAGCAAAATATCAACTACATATAACTCAAGAAAGATGATTTTGGTCCCACTGACCTTGTACATTGATCCATGACATTCTCTACAAAACCAAATGAAGAGATAACATTGTGAAGTCTTAAATACCACTGTCGGGAGGTTCATTTAAGTCCATAAATGGACTCTTCAGCTTGCAAACCAAATGCTCACCATCACTTGAAATGAACTCATTAGGTTGTTTCATATAAACCTCTTCCTCCAAATCTCCATTGAGGAAAGCTATTTTCACATCCATTTGATGTAAATCTAAATCAAAATGGGCAACTAATGCCATAATGATGTGGAAGGAATCCTTTTTAGAAACTAGAGAAAATGTTTCTTTATAATCTATCCCTTCCCTTTGCGTGAACCCCTTGCCAACAAGCCTAGCCTTGTATCTCTCAGTGTTGCCTAAAGAATCCCTTTTAGTTTTAAATACCCATTTACAGCCAATAGGTTTCTTTCCAGTAGGCAACTCAACAAGGTCCTAAACTTTATTATCCATCATAGAATTCATCTCGTTAATCATGGCATTATACCACAACTTAGATTTACTACTGTCTATAGCTTGTATAAACGTGTTTAGGTCATCCTCAACACCTATGTCACAATCAGACTCTTGCATATACACTACATAGTCAGTAGGAACTACTGATTTCTTTATTCTAGTAGATCTCCTTAATGTTGTATCAATAGTCTCTTGTGGAGACTGTTGCACAACTGGTTGTTCCTCCTATTACAGAGATTGTTCAGAATGATCTTCTAAAACAATCTCATCAGAACGTGGACTTTGATTGATTGGTTCCTCATTGTTCACCCTATTTAGATGAACAACCAATCTTTTACTTGATGTAAGAGCATTATCTGAAACATCAATTTTCTCAAGGACTAAGTCTTTGAGTTGATCACTCCCACTGACCACGTCATTCTCAAGAAATTTGACATTTCTTGATTCAACAATTGTACTAGAATGGTTTGGACAATAAAACTTATATCCCTTGGATTTTTCCGCATATCCAATAAAATATGCACTAATAGTCCTAGGATTTAACTTCCATTCTTGTGGATTATAAACTCTAACTTCAACTGGGCAACCCTAGACGTGTAAATGAATTAAACTTGGTTTCTAAACTTTCTATAACTCAAATGACGTTTTGGGAACCGCCTTAGTTGGAACTTGTTTTAATATATACGCTGCAGTTTTAAGAGCTTCAATCCACAAAGAATAAGGAAGTTTGGAGTTACTCAGCATACTCCGTACCATATCCATTAATATTCTATTTCTCCGTTCTATTACACCATTTTGAGATGGTGTGCCAGACATGGTGTATTAAGCCACAATACCTTGCCCTTGAAGAAATTTAACAAATGGACCAAGTGCTTGTCTTGTACCAGTGTATCTACTATAATATTCACCACCTCTATCAGATCTCATGATCTTAATTTGTTTTCCACATTGTTTCTCTACTTCTGCTTTATATATTTTGAAATCATCCAATGGTTCATCCTTGTGATGAAGCAAATAGAGATACATATATCGTGAGTGATCATCAATAAAAGTGATAAAATATTTTTTACCACTAGAGTTCATGTCAAGGCAACAAATATCTGTGTGTATGATCTCTAAAGGTTCAGAACTCTTCCTAGCACCTTTCTTGGATTTGTTAGTCTGCTTTCCCTTAATGCAGTCTATACAAGTATCAAAGTCAGTAAAGTCAAGAGTTTCAAGAACTCCAGCACTTACCAACCTTTTAATCCTATCAATGGAGATGTGTCCAAATCTCCTATGCCATAGAAAAGAAGAGTTTTCACTCATAACAGTATGTTTAATACTAGTACTAACATGTGAAGTCGTTAAACTATAACGAACAGTATCACNTAACAAATATCTGTGTGTATGATCTCTAAAAGTTCAGAACTCTTCCTGACACCTTTCTTGGATTTGTTAGTCTGCTTACCCTTAATGCAGTCTACACAAGTATCAAAGTCAGTAAAGTTAAGAGTTTCAAGAGCTCCAACATTTACCAATCTTTTAATCCTATCAATGGAGATGTGTCCTAATCTCCTATGCAACAGAAAAGAAGATTTTTCACTCATAACAATACGTTTAATACTAGTACTAGCATGTGAAGTCATTAAACTATAAGGACCGGTATCACTTAAATGAATTTTAAATAAATCATCAACCATAGTACCATTTCCAACAACAGATAAGTTCTTAATTAAATTAAAAGAACTACCATAAAAGTTGAAAAAGTATCCACAAGGTACAAGTTTAGAAACTGAAATTAAATTCCTAGAAAAACTAGGAATATAAAAGGTTCGTTCCAAATCCAAAATAAAATTAGTGCTTAAAATAAGTCTATATGTTCCAACAGCTTCAACACGTGAAGGCATCTTGTTTCCCAAATAGATGCTGCATTCACTTCCCATCGGTTTCCTTTGATCCAGAAAACCCTGTATAGTATTAGAAACATGGATTGTAGAACCAGAATCAATCCACCAATCATTATGAGAAACACAAATCATATTAGATTCATAACACACAAGAGATGTGAGATTACCTTTCTTGATAAGCCAGGCCTTCCTTTTAGGACAAACCTTCTTGATGTGTCCCTTCTTTTTACAGAAGAAACACTTGATGTTGTCCTTATTTCCTTTGCTCGTAACCTCATGCAACTTGCCTTAACTTGCCTTTTCCCTTCCACTTCTTATTTTTGTCACCAAATGTGCAATTTCATTCACTTCTTGAAGCAATCTCTCCTCCTCTTGAACACAAATGGTCAAAAGCTCATTGATTGACCATTTAGCCTTTTGTGTGTTATAAGCTTGAAAGGAGTATAACGAGATGAGAGAGAGTTCATGACATAATGCACCAGGAAATCATCATTAATCACCATATGGAGGGATCTCAACTGAGTAACGATGTCCCTCATTTTCATAATGTGCTCACACCTTTAATACTGGTGAGCTTCATAGATGTTAATCTACTCATTAGGGTGCTGCCTAATGCCTTATCTGATGTTTCAAACTGAGCATGAATTGCATCCATCAGATCCTTGACATTCTCACACTCCGGTATCGACCCACGAATACTACTCATAATGTGAGATTTGATAAACATTATGCTTAAACGGTTGGATCGCTCCCACTGTTCATACAAAGCAATCTCAGCTTGAGTGCTCGTATTCGTAGGTGTAAGTGGCTCTTCTTTACGAAGAGCATAGTCAAGATCAATGCACCCTAAATGAAGCAGGACAGCCTCCCTCCAGGATTTGTAGTTATCACCATTTAGATAAGGAACTTTATCCTCAACCATCATCAAAGTTTGATCAACTGTAGGTATATCAACAAATATGCTTACTAAATAAATTATGAGGCACAAACCATCAACAACAGTTATAAGTTTACCAATGTAAAACAAATAACAAATCATAAATGAATCGACATATCATAAAATCTCCCTGCGGGTAAAGACATTACATATTATGATTCATTATCCTTTAATGATGAAACTAGAGATTATTAATATTTCATAATACCTATGGGCTAATTAAGAAATAAGAATAATTTATATTTCATCCTAATTAATCATGAGAATATAACATTTCCTGTGGGTAAAATTATTATATTAATATGATTAACTGCAAAACGATGTTATTAACTTTATATGATCATAATTAATATTATTTAATGCATATAATACAACATAACATAAATCAATACAAGAATAACACATTATTTATGCATAACAGATTAATAAATGACATAAAAGCCATCATACGTGCTGTCACTGACTCCCACACGCCATCGTGACTCAACCACGCGCAACCAAGTGTGCTCACGCGCCGTCACGCACCTCTAGAAGACAACACACTCTTGCACGCACCTTCACGGCTCTCCCAGCGCTTTCACGGCTCTCCCACGCCCCTTCACGACTCTTCCACACGCCAAAACACACCTCCCCATGCGCCTGACGCAAGCACGTGCACCTTCACCCAGTTCGTTGACCCGATTTGATCGCCTTGACCAGTTTGGCGAGTCGATTTGACTCGTTGACCGAGTCAGGTTGACCCGTTCGAGTCATTGGGCGAGTGTGACTGGGTCAGTTTGACCTGATTTGACCTTTGACTTTGGCTGGGTCAATTTGACTTGTTTTAACCTTGATTGGGTAGATTTGACTTGGTTTCTGTAACTTTTAACCCGTTTTTTGTAGTTTTTAACAGCCCGATTCTGGCTATTTTTACGACATTTTAGAAGGGAAACTTGAACGTGGATGTATGGCCTATGTCAGTAACATCCCAAATGACATTTTCGTCCCAAATCGGTGTCGTAAATGGCTGCCAAAATTACCCAAGCGGTAATTTTAACCGAAACTTTAAACTAGCATAACTTTGCAACCACAACTCCGTTCTCGACAAATAATATATCATTGGAAAGCTTTTTCAACAAGGATTCCAATGACACTAAAATCGAAAACATATTTGATTTATTCAAGATGTTATGTCCTATTAAATTTACAAGTTTAAATAACAAACAATTACATGCCAGACAACGATTAAAAGAATGGCTCTAAACCACATGTTAAAAACCTGCAATATAAATCACTCAAGATCAACATGTATATATTCGTATCATTATTCATATACATGTTCATATATTCATGGAAATTTGCGGAAATAAAATAATTTAACCACTAACCTCCAGTCATAGCAATTTTGTTGTTGCCGTGTTTTTCAAAAGTTACAGACTCTTTCAATGCACTGCAATTCTCAGAATGATGGTTTTTGGGAATCAAGATAATTGCATATATTAGAGACCTATAACTGTTCCCCTTTTAAAGTATGTATAAGTCTTTTCATAAAAAACAACTGTTGGGGATAACTGCTGAAAACTACTTAGCAATTTGAATTTTTTTTATATAAAAGTGAAGGACCAAATAGTAATTTTAGGGCAATGAATTTTAATTAATTAAAATTCTAATAGAAGAATGATAGAATAGTAAATCACTCCAATGCCTATCCCAATTCCACGTCCACCACCAATTCCATGCCCTCTACTAATACTACTTACTACTCCTCTTCCACCACCACCATCTACACCTCCATCAACTCCAAACCCGCCACCATGATCTAAACCCCCACCTATTCCTCCTCCACCCTTGCCTCCAACTACTCCTCTGCCACTTATGCCCCACTTCTTACACCCCCATCAGCACCAAAGCCATCCCCATGTCTAAATCCTCCACCTCCACCCCCACCACCATCACCTCCTCCTCCAACAGCATCACCAACAGCACCGCCCATACCTCCTTCAGCACCAAAGCCTTCATTATAGCTAGAATCACTACAAACTCCACTTCCTTGTCCTCTCGCTCCACCAATACCACCTCTAGCCCTGCCGCCACCACCACCCACAGCTCCAAAGCCTTTACCTTTACCTGAAGCGCCTCTAACGCCTTCTACTCCACCACCACTAAAGCCTCCACCTCCACCTACACCTTCAACTCCAAATTAACATTTTTTTTGCAGCAGCCAAACCTCATCCCAATCCCTCTTTCACAAACAAAAATCTTCATCACCAAATATTCAACAATTCATTTCAATTTTTTTTTTTCCGCAACCAAATCTCTAACAACTTACCAAATCAAAAATTTAACCATGTCCAAACTCTCCAAAATGTCAAAACACAACTTAAAATTCATAGGATCTGTTACCTCAAAAGTGAAAAATTAAATTATAAGAAAAATGTATTAAAAATTGGTGGTTGGCCAGATTGGGCGACCATGATCTGGTCGCTGCTTGGCCACATTGTGTCGGCATGATCTGGGCAAGGGGCAGCCAAATTGAGCAGCCAAAGTTTGGGCAAATAGGGTCTCTTGGAGAAGGGAAGGGGGAGAAAAATACGAGAAAAAGAGAGAAGGGGAAACAAGAAGAAAGGTGAAGAGGAAGAAAAGAGAAGGAGAAGAGTGATGGCGGAGGAGAAAGAAGAAAAGAAAAGAGAAGAAGAAGAGAGAAAGGTATTTTTGTCTTTACATTGTTTATATCATATCAATTACTTAACAATGGGTGAGAAAGTATCATTTTGAAACTTTTCATGTGAGAAAGTGTTGTTTGGCCAAACCGTGGGTGGGAAATTATCATTCTCCCATAAAACTTAGCTGGCCAAAGTTGCATTGCTAATTGCTATTGCTGTCTAAAAAATTGTTTAAATAATTAAAAAAACTTTTAATCTTGATTATACAATGTTCTTTTTCCATTTTAATGAAGTAAAGTTTTTCTTAATTATAGACTCATATCCCATTACATTTGAATCTTCAATAATACAATTTTTTTTATTACGAAAGAATCAAGAATCGGAATCCTTACATTACAGCCTTTTCCCCCTTGATTTGAAGAAAATGTAACAATTGTAAATATCATCATCTCCATTTCCAGAAGATCTTGGCATCATCCTGGAGTATTAACCTGAAACCTGAGAAGAAAGATTGGAAGCACAGCCATTAAGCAACTTCCCTGAATTATTGGCCCCTGATATCCCTGTTTTCACATCATTATTAAATGTTTCATTGTCATCATTAGCACTATTTATTTTCAAAAGCCTAAATAATTTATTAGGAATATTATATTAAATCCAGCATCTTCCGTAACTATAATCCTATTTCCACTTACTCTATGCTTCACATTCAATAAAATCATGTACACTAATACATTTGAGTCTTTGTTTTTAAAGGTTTATGTCATGACAGATTGAATCATGAAACAACTGCAACTGTACTCATAGCAGTTCAAATACAAGTAATTTAATAGTCTTTAGCTGCAAACTGATCAAATGTGTACCTTTATGGATCAATCTTGAGCTGCAAACTTTCTCTACAGTCTAACTTCCACTTATATATATATCATGTACAAGGAATGGTGTATTTAATTAGGTTTTTCACGGTTATGATCGGTGAATTTCCGATACAAACTTTTACATCAATGATAGTTAGCCTCGACATAGGATTTCAATTTCCCAACACCATATCTGAGTCAAGGCAGCCTGTAATGTCTTAACATCACTTTAATCACATCATTAAGTGTTGTATTACTTCATTTAATTAACAAAGCAGTAACATTCCTTGAGCAGTTGAAAGTCTTTAGAATATATAGTAGTGGATCTTGATGTGCAATCAATTTGTCCATGATCAAAACAATGGATGACAAAAATGGAACAGAGACAAAACAGTGTTGTTTGGGAAAAGCAATAATAGTGGGAACATTCTCGGCTAGATTTGATGATTAGTTGTTTGAATGTCAAATTGCATTGCATCCCCCATTAAACACGTCTGTTTCTCGGATAAGAGCCCCAGGAAATATATATATATATATATAATTTTTTTTTTTTTTTCTCACGCATCTCTCTTTCTCTAGTACATGTTAGAGCTGCTTTGTGCCTGAGAAATGAGCATTAACCAAGCGCATCAATATCACAATTTTAATGGACTAGCCTTCTTTAAAGCATAGGCTAGGCTTTTAGCTCAGGCCATTAGTGTCCACAAGGAACAATTTATCAAGTTGCATCCCTGTGGATAACCACCCGTTTCCCCAAGAATAACTTTACTAAAATGATAGACATTAATGGAACAATCGACATCTTTTCCTCTTTTGATTTGAGCTTTATTAGTTTACATGTTATAAAATCTGAAAAAACTCAAAACTTTAAATAAGCGAAAGATCTTAATTCTAATGGAATGTTGTTTTGATCGGCGTAATTAAGGTTTTAGTTCATTCTCAACTATAATACTGATCAATTTTGTCAAGTTGCATTGTACGATAATCATTTGGGTGAAGAGAAAAGTTTGACAAGATGACATGAAGTTTGATTCACCTGCCATTCATATGACAATGCCACAAGCATAAATGCTCATGGCCTCCAAGGGCTCTTATTTGCCTTCCTTCAATAATTAATTTTAAAGGGCTAAACAAGAAGATTTAGATGCTAAAAGAGAGATTAATTTATTCTAAACTCGGTAATTATACCGTAACACCTCTCTCACAAACTAGACCCAACAGCAAGACCTCTGGAAAAAGAAAACAAAAAGAACAGGAGAAAAAAAAAAAAAAAAACATGAAAATACGAAGTAGAGATGAGCACAAAACTTTTAGGTGGGAGATTTTTTATTGCCAGTTGGGTATTTTCTTGCGTTCTTCACTATCTTTGTAAGTGCAGCTCGGCCAAGATCAAGACCACAAACATCAGCTAGACGAACTAGATAAAGCAAAACATCAGAGAGCTCTTCCTTTAGATGTTCCTTATCATCTGAACCCCAGTTGGGTAGTCCTCTTGCAACTTCTCCCTTCCATTGAAATATTTCTGAAAGCTCTCCAACCTCTCCCACCTGCATAAAAAATAGAAAAAAAGTTGCATAGATTGTTAAAGAGCAATCTTAATTTTAACTTAAAGTTGCATATTTATGTATAGAACAGTCTTACTAGTGCTAAAAGGAGATTTCTGGGACTGTGGTATTGATCCCATCCTCTAATTTCTGCAAATTCTGCAAGCCTATCTCTGAGTTCTTGAAGAGAAACATCTTTATCATTAGATTTCTTGACACACTCATTATAAGAATTCTCCATCTCTAGCTTTCTCTTCTCTAGGTTATGGTTTCACTTAGGCTCATGCATGTCCAAGTTTAAATACAAATGAGAATGAGAGAGAGAGTTCCAAAAAAATGCACAGTAATTTTAGTGGAGGAGCACTTGAGTGTTCCCTCAAAACAGTATCAAGTGAGGTATGGCAAAGATGTCTCCTTTTTTACATCCATGACTTGATATCACTAACTCCCACTGGAAATTTCTGTTTTACCAGAAGTTTGCCAGCAATTGTTTTATATATATATATCCTATTTATAATGACTTCTTGCTAGAATTTTTTTTTTTTTTTCTTCTGTAAATTTAGCATTGATCTTCCTCTGGATTTAAATAATATTGGTGAATTTTCAGAATTTGTTGTACTAGAAGGACAATTATTCTTCTTTTCTCTTATGGGTCCAAGCATCATTGATTATACACATGTTTTATGAATCCTCTAAAATGCGATTCCAATCTAGACAATTTGTAACATAAATTTTCTGTTATGTAATCCATTATCCATGAGCTCAGGAAATACAATAACAAGCATTCCAATCGAATGTGTGTGGCTGAGCTGGTTTTGTTGTTGCACTTGCTATGTTGCTACAATTATACGTTAGGATTAGACGTTTACCATTAGGCCAAAAACTATAACTGTTAGTAGAGATGCAATCTTATTTCTTTTAACCATTAGTTATAGCTATATGTTCGGACCAGTTTGCGTGTACTTCAACTTAGTAGCGGATCCAAAAATTTTTGTTAGGGTGGACCAAAATCAAAACTAATTACATATTAATATTTTTGTTAGGATGGGCCAAAATCTAAAAATTATATATAATTAGTATTTTTTAAAATAAAATTGAGGGTGGGCCATTCACTCCTGCTGCAACTAGTTTTTCGAGATGCTAAAGTTAACGATTAGATAAGCCTCCAGCGATACCCCTTATCAGTAACGAGGATTCAAGTGACTTAGCTCCCTCACCTCCGCCATAATAGTTACTGGCCCACCTAACCAACATTTATATGTATTTTACTTAATCAAGGAAGGTAATAAAAACATCTGTGCATGTTCTTTTCGAGTGCATATCCTCCACTGTCACACGGTTACCTTGTGCATATCTTCCAATTATTGTCCCTTCTTTTATATGAAAAAAATTCTAGGAAACAGAAATGTCAGGTGCCTTCTCTGTTCAAATCTCTATTTCTTGTGTATATCCTCTGATTGTTACCATTTTTCTTAATTTCATTCTGGTGCATATCTTGTAACTGTTACCTTTTTCTTTTATTTCCAATTTTCCAAGACAGATAAATAAACAGAAACGTTTACAAATGATTAAAAGAGGATTAGAATTTGAGTCCTACAAACAATTAGTAGTGCACCTGCCAATTGAACGAATAGAGAGATATGAAAACTAAAATAACAGTAAACACACAAACCACAAACAGTAAAGAAATACGTACAATTTTACTTTGGTTCACCCAATTAACCGGTTACGTTCAGTTGAGTCGATATTATTGCTATACTACCTCACCACTCTCGTTTACAATGAATGTAGTTTGTTCTATTGTTTGCTATCACTTATTACAAGAGAAAAATATGTTTATATATTAAGTTTAAAAGACTAAAACGTAATATTATAAATATTTCTAATCTTAAACTCAAACTTAATAAAGAATTAACAACTTAAAGAAATTCTTCTGACTCTTTATGAAAAAAGTCTAAACCACTAGTAAAATCCTTAAATATATCAGCATAACTCATTAATGCTAAAGTGGTTGACAACTCCAACCCCAATTACCCTTTTTCCGCTTGAGCTTGGTAAACCAAAATGATCACTTATGGAATGCTATAACTCGTCAAATTGTTATAGATTACAAATTAGGCAATAAATGTTGTTAGTTTTCACCCCCTTATTAGTGCCCTTATGCTTTAAAGTTTGGAGTTTAGTGAGTTTGTTGATAGCAAATCTACTCTGAAACTGATGGAAGATTTCTTTCAAGATATTCAAAAGATTACAATCTGGCAGCTCTTCATTATCTTGTTATCTAGTAATTATTGAACTTCGCAGGATTTCACTGATGCATTTTAATTAATGGATAAAAAATAGCAAGTTGACAATTGACTTAATGGTTCACATTTAATATCATAATGCCCCAAATATTTTAGCTCATGCTTCTGTAGAGGGGCGAAGTTAAGTTGATTGGTCCAAATATTTTAGTTGTATTTTCCAAATAAATGTCTGGTAACATTTCCTGTATCCTCTCAGCAGTACAAAAAAGGTCTGCAATAGCCATTCACAAAGCAAGGAATTATACTTTGTGTCAGAAAATATTAATGAAGCTGTAACATGTTCTTCTGCTTCGTCCAGTAAAAGATGTGGTCCTCAAGCGTATAAAGCTTTACAGAAATTGTCATAATCCATTTGCAAAACCACTATTGCATCAATAAAAATTCCTATGAAACAATTCAAAAAACATCAATTATGAACTGTTTATACTGATAAGAGACTAATGGCACATAATTATGTAAATAGTAAGCTACTATACGCCTTCGTCATGCTTCAATAGTTGATTTTCCAATGACTCCTCTTCCATTCCTATATCCTCCTATATGGGCTAAAAATTATATTAGATCTGAGGAAGTCTAATAACATTATAAATATGTCACAGTCCAAGGCCTTGACTCAATTTTAATTGAGCTCACACTTAAGATACATTGTGAATTATCTGCTCTATGAGTTGGGTCATCCCATGAGTTAAGCTGAATTGGGTCTGACCCATTCGTCCACAACAGTCCACAATTAGGATCGAAATCCTAGTCAATTTCCTCTTCTAATAAGATCCACGATCTCACCCAAAGAGGAAAGCCTGAACCGATAAAGGTAACAAATCTAATCTCCTTCCAAAAGGACAACTCTCACACCAAATAGGATTCACAGTCCTACTAGGATTCGGACCCTTTGGGTTCACTATATAAGCAGAGGCAAACCCTCTCATTAGGCATTCAAAAATCACCCCTAAGTTCCAGCATTCTTACTCCCTAGCTCTTCGCATACTCCAATGACATCCTTATGTTACTAAGCCCTTATCAACCGCAAAGGCACCCTCCGCAAGTCCATCAAGATTGTCAGTGGCTTGCAACACAAGATTTTGTCTTCTCAAGTTTAATTGTAAATTTTATTGTTTACAATTTGGTGCCCACTGTGGGGCCTTTGCAATTTTTCGTCTCAAAACGACTTGTTGAAGCTGCTCCTCCTCCCCATTTGACTATCATGACCAATGACATAGAGATTCTGACGTCTGATGTCGCGGCACAAATTGCAGCTCGACTGCTGCTTATTATTTGAATCCAGCTTTTCAGTATGACCGTGCAACTTTCTACAGGAAACTAGAGGTTATGCGTGGTTTCCTTGATGTTATCGACAATAAAGCAAGTGCATTCAAGTTGAGTAAGACAAAGCTAGTGGACGAAAGTAGAATATATCGAGATCGCGAGGAATGCTTTTCTCGTGACCTTGCCCTTCAAACTTGCAGAACCACACGACCTGGTATGTGATACTTATTAAATTTCTCAATTTTAAGTCCAATTTCTAAGTTATGAATTTGTTTATTTGATTATTTCATATGGTTAACACTCTTAACTTTTAATTAGATGAATGGTGGAGGACATATGGGTATAGTACTCCACAGTTACAAGAGTTTGCAATTAAGATTCTGAGCCAAACTTCAACCTTTTCGGGATGTGAGCGAAATTGGAGTGTTTTCGAACGTATCCATACAAAACGAAGGACTAGATTGGAGCATCAACGGTTGAATGATTTGGTTTTTATCCATTATAACTTGCGTTTGAAAAATAGGTATAAAGCATTGGCAATTTTAATATTTTTATTATCTCGTATTTTTATTGATATTTTTATTTAGCGTGTCTTTCAGGATATGTCACAAGAAAAGCAGTTGTGATCCTATCGATTATGAAAGCATTGACAGAACAGAATTTTGGATTGCTGATGATGAACAAGAGGGTGATGACTTCAATTTAGATGAATTGGAGCAAGCACTTTATGAAGAAGGATCTATTCCTATCGGTGTTGATGACCAACTCTATTATGATTCAGCAGGTGGTTCACAAGGTTGTTTTCCAACTTTTAACCAACTTGGTAACTATTTTAATTTATAATTAAAATATCAAAAAACAATGTACATTATAAATTTTAACTTATGTTTTTAATTTTTGCTAAATTTGTAGTTGATGGTGATGATAATGATGATGATGTGGATAATCAATTTAGGATGGAATCAATTTAGGATGGGTTGATCCGTTGAAGAATTTGTTTGGTTTCTCCTTTTTCCCTTCACTTACCGTGAGTTGCTATTGAATTTGTTTATGGTTGGGTTGGTGGAATGGATTGATATTGTGTAATTTTAAATGTTGGTTGGTGGATTGGTAGCTATTTTATAATTTTGTAATTTTGATGGTTGGCCGTTGGTGGATTCATATTTGATAATTGATATTACTTTGTAATACCTTTAATGTTGTTTGAAACTTTAGAGTTTACTTTAGACTTGAGGATTGAATTTGTAAACTTCAACTATCAAACTTTGATGGTTTTATTATTGTTGTAGGGTTGGTTTGATGGTTTTTAAACTTTAGTTAGATAGAGAATCTGAATTTTTTTCCTTTTTTTCGTTTTTGCTGACGTCACTGGTTCAACCGACCAGTCAAACCATTCGAACCGGGAACCGACCATTTGGTCGGGTCGACTCCCAGTCCGATTTTCAAAACATTGGTTTCTAGGTTATATGGTGACGTAGCACGACATCAAGGCCAATCCAGATCAGAGCAGGCTGGTTCTAGGCACCTCGTCCTCAAATAGCATAAAAGACGTGTAACGTCTCACATGGAGAATAGCCGCCCTGAGCTGGTTCATCTCCAAGTCGGTTGAGAAATGCCACATTTTCTTCGCCACCCTCAGGAAGTTAAAGAAGTTTGAATAGACTCAAGCATACGAAGAGAAATTGGTT